CACTGAAAGCATCGGCATCGAACCCTGCTGTGAAAATAGTACCTACAGGAATTTCTCTCCCCTAATACAGAGCTGATACTTAAACCCTACTGCACGAACCAACAGGGCACCGATGGAGCCTTCCCACTTTATGACACAGCTAACAGCTAACAGCTAACAGGTAGCCTGGCTCTGGGAAAAGAAGCAGCAACTCTAACGTTTGCTCATTTATCTAATTTCATCTACACAGAGAAGGGTGCAAATGACAAAGTTTGTGTTTAATGTGTTTCTTTGACATAAGTGGTAACTTTAATGAACCTGCAGTTTCTCCAAAACTGATTCAGTCCCACAGACTCCCAATTCTAAAAAGCCCAACTTTACAGTATTAATACACCTTCCAGCCAGATACAAAAAACATTTACAGCCTCTACTGATCGTTCCCACTTCATGACAGCTGGACAGGGAGGGAATGTTTATATCATCCTGGAGAAGAAACGATAACTACTTTATTTATACCATATACGGGGAATTAGTTTATTACAGCAAATGTTAAATAACAACAATAATTCAGTAATAATTACTCTCTGGCAGACACCGCGTTTCCAGACATCCAACCACTGCAGAATGGTCAGAGTGTTTCTCTGCGTGTCCTGGGGTGTACATGGTGAGCAGGAATGGAGACAGCACAGTGGAGCTCCTGTACTGCACATCATTAAACCAGACAGAGCCCTGCCCAGTCTTACATACTGTCTATCAGATCGTCACTAATCCATGAAATAGATTAAAGTTAGTGCAGAAACAATGTGGTGTAGCTGACAGCTGTCTGCTATGACAAATCTGCACTCACTTCACTAAAGGTCCCCACACTTTCAGTAAAACACCAGTTTTACTCGACTTGTCTAACAAAATGATTTGCTGTGTCACTTTGGTTTTGGTGAGTGAAACTGTACTCTTGTGTTACATTTTATAATAGCATAATATTTGTGTAAACAGTTTGGTCATGATTGTGGTCATACTTTGAAAAACATGATTGAAAGAGGAAGAACAAAGGGTCTCCTGCGTCTCCACGTCTGACACAGTACTAACCCGCCTGTCCTCCCCGACCTCCTCTCTATGCACACCTTACTCTGTAACGATCTCAGCCAGTGTCTCAATATAACAGGCAGCTGGATGTAAACAGACACTTTCTCTCAAAACGCTCTCAACAAGAAACAAATGAATCACAGCAGATGGCCCCGCCCCTCCCTGAGCCTGGTTCTGCTGGAGGTTTCTTCCTGTTAAAAGGGAGTTTTTCCTTCCCACTGTCGCCAAAGTGCTGCTCATAGGGGGTCATATGATTGTTGGGTTTTCTCTGTATGTATTATTGTAGGGTCGACCTTACAGTATAAAACACTGCGAGGCGACTGTTGCTGTGATTTGTATAAATAGAATTGAACTGAATTATTCATCGTAGATCATCCCGACAGTGTGTTTGATAAGATGAAAAACCCATCCATCAGTGTATCCCTACCACTGCCCCCTACAAACTCCCTTCCAAACAAACTCTAGAAGAATAAGTTTTGTGCAAATGTGCCAAGTTAGTACAGGGCAGACGCTGATGCAGCTAATAAGGAAAAGTGTAGGATCTTGGCAGGATGCTGGATGTCTGCACACTGCAAGAATCTGAGACAACTTCACCCAAGGCTGCCAGAATAGTTGTGGACAGTGGGGCGCCAGGTATCAGAGAGCAAGGTCCCGCCTGGGGGAAAACCGGGCAGAAGGACAGGGAGAGACAGCGAGTCAAGCAAAGACAGATAGATGAGACTCCAGTTAGAATGACGGGAGAGAGAGAAAGATATGGGGTCTATCAATGTGAAGTCAGAGAGAGAGCCTCCACTGCAGTAAAACAACCCTATACCAGGCTGACCCTCCTCCTCCTCTTTCTCCTCATCGATTCAGTAGCGCAGCAGCAGCATAGCAAAACTCTTGCAGAAAAGAAATCGCTCAGCTTTGGGCTCTGCAGTGGCTACACGGGGAAAACACCTCTCTTTTGTCTTCGATCGCTGCGTCCTCATATTTGAATCGACACACCCAAATACAGCCTATTGTACCGACACCCACGATGATACCTGCAGTTTCATTAAAGGCCACCTTCTGTTTTACTCACCGCTAAACTTATCCTCACCTTCCACTGTGTCTGAGTGATTTTCCTTGCCTGCCATAACCTCCATGCAGATCTTCTTCAGTCCTCTCACGCTCCTCCTCTTTATCACCTACCGGCTGCCTAACAACAAGCCTTCACCTTCTCCTTCTCTTCTACCCTGAAGCACATTTCTCTCGTACACGATAAAACCAGGAACACTGTAGAAACACAGGCATGCTTGGCATTCGGTTCATTGTTTTCTCTCTGCATCCTGTGCTCCACAGCCACGGCTGTATCATTACCATTCAGAGTGAGAGTGCAGTGGCAGTGGTAAGTGTGTGACGTGTGGGGCTTTAAGGGAAATAATGCTAATGGGAAACATAATGACAAGAACTCTTCAGACTCCTAATTAGATAATAAAACAAGTGTTTGCATGGCAGCAAAACTAAAACAGTTCAGTCCCAGTCTTGAAGCATGAGTGGCTTTTTTTTACATAACATTAATCTGTATTATTTACAGGATTATCAGGAAGCCCTGCTAACAATCCCTTACATAACATCTATATTTTATGGCTGTTTTTTTTAAGTTTGATTAAAACGTCTCTCTTGGCCACTGAGCAGGCCCTGTGTGTGTGTGTGTGTAACTGTGTGTGTGTAACTGTGTGTGTGTGTCTGTGTGTGTGTGTCTGTGTGTGTGTGTGTGTCTGTGCGTGTGTGTAACTGTGTGTGTGTGTGTGTGTGTGTGTGTGTGCGCGCGCGCACAGGCTCTCGGAGGACTCCACGCTGACAACATTAGATGCACTTAAGGCTCGGATACGGGACTTGGAGAAACAGCTGTCTAAAGGAGACAGATTTAAATGTCTCATCTGCATGGTGAGTGTGGAGGCAAATTAAAGCAAAAGAGAAAAGAGCACAATTTCAAACTGTTGGTGTATGTTTGTTTCTTCATTAACATAATTAATACAGTAATATTTTTATGGAAAATGTTTGTCGGCGACTCTTC